TAATCTACCGAAATGTCAACACGGGGCGCTCGTGGAAAATTTCAATGAGTTCTGGTCACGCACAGGACGAGAAAATTAGGCGGCGGAGTCGGAAAAGAGGAGCTCGGCATTAATAGGAATTGTTCAGACAAAGCTCGTTTAATTTGTTTGTGCTTCTAAATTTACGCCGCTCTGTTTTAAAGCTGATCTCGGCTAGAATTCAACCAAGTTGGTGTCGTAAAACTCAGCCAGAAGATATATATAGGTGATATATGTATGGATATACATGCAGACGACAACGCGGCAGTTTATTGCAGGTACGTGTCTTGAATTATCGTCAACACTTTGCCAGGTTGGAGATTAACAAACGTTCTCGCCTGACGTTTGACTGCCCCACATCCTGTCGCATTTTCCTACTCCTATTTTTAGTCCTGCCGGCGTTTTCTTCGTCGGTCGTTTTATACGTATATGGTACGTATGCCTGCCTGGAAAAATTGATGAGCGTGTAAACATGTGTCTGTGCGCTTTTATTTATGGATTTCCATAACAATCCGGCGTAACATATGTGTCTGAACCGTTGATTGAAGGAGGAGGATGTTTGCCGAGCGGCAAGTGTGTGCAAACTGGGTCAGACCGCCGAGTTCCTTTGCCCCTTGGGGAACTTCCTTAAAGCAAAGCTCAGGAAGTCGCAAAACCCGCAGTGAGCTTGTTTTCATGCTTAAGGTGTTACGTGTTTGGCTTAGAGCCCTGAGTTTGTTTACCTGTCCTCCTTTTCCCCACCTCTGGTAAATATGTGTGTTTACCCTTTAAGTTAAGTTAATTCACTAAGGATAATAAGGGCTACTTATCAGATTACCAATTACAATTAATAATACTATGCTAATCCAATGGCTTCCATAATAAAAAAGTAAGGAAGGAATTAGCATACATTTAATCAACTGAGCATTAAAAGTATAAAAGATATGCACCCCTTTTTGATTTAATTTACCCCAACAGCACTCAAAAGAATTATAACACGTTTTAAATCACATTTGTGTCGCCCCCTCAACTCATGCGCCACATTTAACCCAAAATACTTTTTGCCTGCGGTTCTTAAAAACTTACTTCTGCTCTTTTTTTGAGGAGAATCCGGGGAGCCAAAGTTTTTCCTGCCTTTTGTCGCCAGCCATAGCTCGCATAGTCTGCGTGGAATTAACATGGCCAGGTCCGTTGTCAACACAGCAAATGGTTCGGGTTCAGGTGTCAAAATTGTTTTGGCTAAAGTTTGTGGCTGCTTTTACGGCCACGCTTATTTTTGTTAAGCATTTCAAGCGCAGGCTTGAGATGTGGCCCAAAACCCCTCCCCTGGGAGCCAAAAATTCACACAAAAAAAAATTATAAACTTATTATCCTTTACTATACTTTAACTAACTGATTTATATTTATTTTTAAGATAAAGAGCGAATATAAATGTTTTACCGGTAAAGAAGAACATCTGCATTATCCTAAATCATCTTGCAGCATTAAGGACTCACAAAAAATATACCAGCATTTAAAAGCACCAGTTTTTTCACAGTGTAGTTACCTTTGCTAAGTGGTGAAGGTGCCGAGGCTGTCGCTTTGGATGGAAAAGTTCTGTGTTGCAACAAAAGCATAACAAAAACGCAAAGGAAAATATGGTGGGAATTTTTTAACGCTTCCAAGTTTGCACGGCGTCGACAGCTTGCCAGTGGAATGAAGAGAGTTTTGGGGAGAGGGGCAGGGGTGGATAAGGTAAACTATTACATAACACGCATTATACTTAAGGTGCTTGGCCAGGTTGGCAAGGCGTTTGCCCAGGGAGAAAATGCATAAAAAGCGCATTTTATTATTTCACTGGAAACTTGTTTACGGTTCGTTCTCTCCTCGCTGATTCGTCGCCGCCCGTCGCGCTCTTTCATTATGATGTAATATGGTTTTAACATTATTTTTTTTATAAATCAACAAAATGCACTCAGCGCGACTTTCTCGGTTGACGCCGCACAACTTTCCCCCAAGTGGCAGTGAAAGCCGAAGGAAAGGCGCCAGCCAACGGGTGCAAGAATAAAAGCCTCGAGTGCTGGAAAGGCGGATAGGTGGAGGCCAGATTGGACTCTGATTTATTTAATGCTATTATAGTTATGGCTTTATTACTGTGACGGGTCCAGATGGCAGGGGAAAAATAGCAAAGTCTGAAGCCAGACAAACACTTTTCTCAGGGCTTAAAGAAAATTTTATTGATGAAAATTAAAGTAAATATTCTTTTCTATTTATTATTATTAATATGGAGTATATTTGTACTACTCTGAAATATTATTTCCAATTTAAATATAACAGATTTTATAAATTTTTGAAATAAATAACTATCCCAAATTATTTTCCTTTTACTTACATGCTGATTGTATGTAGCTTTCCATTCGCCTTGAGATCTATCACTTTAAATGGCTTTTCCAACCGCTTGTCAGGAGCGTGAAAGTACAGAGGCCACATTTATCTTTCGGCTATGCGAAACAACAAATGTCACAACTGTCTGTCAAGTCAGTTGCACCAAATGGAATATCCCTGGGGCTCAGAACACAGCTGCAATTTTTCGTCTATGCTGCATTTCAAGGATAAAAGCCTTGACACGTTTTTACCGCCTCAACTTATTAATATTTTTGCCGCTTCGAATGTCAGCGGAATTTGTCAACGCATTACGGAAAAATGTCTGCAGACATTGAAAGTGAAAGTTTAAGTAATGAAAGTAAAAATGTATTTACCCGACAGCGTTAAGAAACTATTTACGGGAAAGTAAAGGGTTTATCTATGTATAAAATACCTTATAATTTCTATATTATTTATATAAACTAAACAATTAATATTAATTTGTTTCCGTGCAGTGTTTCCCCCACTCTGATTTCATTGTGTTCACATCTTAGTCATCATCGAGGTAAAAGCTTTCGCCTGTTGATTAATGCGACTTGTCATATAATATTCACCGATGGCGTGTGCTGTGAATTTCGAATAAGATGCATTGGCAAGAGCCATTATCCTTGCACTTCTTGCATTGCAATTTCCTGTCCTTAGCCAGCGATTTGCATGCTGATCTCATTAGCACAAAACAAGTTCATCTGCTGCTCCCGGAGAAGCGAATCGACTGCAAGTGCATCATTTGCATGCAAATGTCGTCGGTGGGCTACTTTCCAACCCCCTTCCCCTCCTCCACTCCTCACTCATTTCCCCCGTTGACCTCCGACCCCTTTGGTGGGTCGGATGGCTGTTCATTTTGCACTTTGGCCCGCCTTTGTTGTGGTTTCGTCCTGAAGGACAAAACTTGGCTTTTCTGCGGGGCAAACGGGGCTGCGTAGGCGACTGGGCTCATAAAGCAGAGTCGCAGTTGCAACTGCCGTTGACACTTTAGCCAATATTCAGAGCACGCAAAAAAAATTCACCGGACTGGGGGATAGAGAGTGGCCCGAGGAAATGGCCTTTATGAAAACTTTCTTTTTGCAGCTTGCAAAACTTCTTGTTTGGCAATTGTCGGCCCTGTCGTTGCCGTTGTCGTTGTCGGTTTTTATTGCCCAGCAAACGTGGTCTTTACCCACTCATTATGAACAGTTTAGTTGGCCTTTTAGTGTGGCTCCCAAATGGCAAATGAATGTGCACAATGCTTGAGTTCCCTCACATACTTTTAAGGCTAGCAAATTTAATTGAATAACAGCCAACCAGTTCTGATTTTATTGCCAAAGAGAACAAACTCTGCACAAACTATTGGCAGAAAGCAATCCGCTTACAAAAAGCTCTTCAAGAAATTACGTATACGCACCGACTACCGAACAATTCAACGCTTTTGCCAAACATTTTCTACCGCTGCCACTTAAAGACCAAATAAATAATGCCAAAGGTAGTTGAAGCATCCACAAGTACCGAAAGCCATTAAAGAATTTCGCTCCAACGCGTTTTCCAAGTACAATTAAGGATTTCAACGAACGCCAAAAGCCATACGCCAAAATATATTGTGGTCAGGAAACAATAAACAAGAAAAAAAAACAAGGAGCTAAAGGAAGAAGGTACAACCTTAACAGCTGTAAATAAGGCCAAGAGTGGGCCCAAGGCCAAGTGGCGGGGAAAATAAACAAAAATGTAATTTGCGCCACTTAGCAGGGAGCAATGGACAGTGCCATTAATAATTCCATTTTTTTGGGGGCATTACGGCGGTGGCACAGATAATAAGAAAATATGACTTTGTTCTGGGCTCCACTTTTGACCCAAAAAATAAAAGGAAAACAAAGCCAAATCAAAAATGAAAAAAACAACGGAAAGTCGGCTTTATTGAAAAATTAAGCGCAGGTGGGAAAGCCAAAAATGTTTTAAAACTAATTTCAGGTAAAGAGGAAGTATTTTAATTTTATTGTTAATTCAATATTTTGACTTTGTTCCTCTTTTTTTAATACACAAATATTTTCCCCCTTTTTTAATTACCTCCCACAAAATTATTCAAATGTATTCATTAAATATGGCACTGTCATAAATCTCATTCGGTATTTTGGCTTGTTCAAAAGTAAATTGGACTGCTTTACATAATTTAATTCAACATGTTGTTTGATGTATAGTATATCTGCCCCTTTGTTTCCCAACATTGGCACTGAAATTCAATTAAGGTGACAAACTGTCCGAATTTATGACATGGGAAGCGTTAAGCCCCAAAGGACAAAAGGAGTTTGAGTGGGATTGAGACACACTTGGGTCGACCCTCATGCGCATATAGTATATCCTTTATGCATATTCATGGGCAACTTTGGCGTGGGTCGTGAATTATGAAATGTAATTGAACGAAATTGAATAATGACGGCGACCGGTGTCAGTTGACAAGAAAAGTGAAATTCCAATGAGCGATTTATGGGCCAATTTCAATTCAATTTTGACAGCAGCAAAATGTCAAAGCCAACCGAATGAATAATGCACAGACAAAGGAATCCTGTAGCTATATATAAAGCGATAGCGAGTTGAATGTCAGTCGAATTTAAACCCACTGTTTGTACCCAATGCATTGGTGGCTGCTCTTATTTCTGCCATTATCCTGCGAAGGATTCCAGGAGCGTGAGTTGCTGGCACTGGAGTTGGATTATGGAGTGCCTGAGCCGCGGCGCACTTCGCTGCTGCAAAGCAGCCTGGTTCTGCAATTCGCTCGGGACTACAAGCACATTCCCAGGATAACCTACTTCACGTGCCAGAAGCCCCATTCCCGTTCCCAGTCCAATATCCCCGAGCCAGAGCTTCGCGAAGCCTTCGAGGCGAAGAATTTTCAGCTGATTAAGAGCCTCTACGAGAGCGAGCTCTTTGTGCGGATTGTCCTGCTCGATGTCCTGGCGCAGGCGACTCCTTCGGGCGGACGGCCCAGCCGACCCGGCAGCGGCCCAACCGGCGGATTTAGCCAGGCGCCCAGCCAGGCGCAGAGCAATTCCGAGTGGCTGGAGAGCGTCCTGCGGATGGAAGCCCTCAGGCAAATTGCGGTCGTCGATCTGGCGTGCGGCGCCCTCAGTCGTCGATTTCTCGAGTTGGTAAGTTGAGTGGGAAAAGCGGAGGGGAAGTGGTGGGGTTTTTCCCCAAGCGACACTCGGAAAAAAGTCAAGTATATTACACTCCAGTTGAGTGAGAAAGGAATCAATAACCTGATATACTCATATAAGTTTATTCAAGACTCACAGCTGTGAAAGCAAACAAAATGTTTAATAAAACTTTAAAGGCTTTTTAAAATATTGAACTACATTTAATAAGTCCTAATTTAATCCTGTTATTCACATACAAATTTATCTTTAATTTACCTTTAATAAAAAAAAGATAAATGCGTAATATAAAAGAACCAATTAGCAGATTAAATTCCTTGGGCATAGGTATTTTAACGAATTTTTTTCGAGTGCTGGCCGCTCATCGCCTTGTCAAAGTCTAGTCTCCTTATTAAGTGCTCGAGTACAATCATTTCAAAGGCTTCCGCCAAGATGCTCTACAGCGAGAAGTTTCACTGGCTATTGATAGAGGACTTCGCCTGGCATGGAAGGACCCAGACTGGCGAAGGATCTGCGAAAGGGGATGAGGAGCCACCTGGACAGCAAATACAGACGACCGACGATGAAGACCTGCCCACCATCGAGAGCTTCTTGGGGGGCATGAACCTGTACATGAACACCGAACTGACATTGGCCAAGCGAATGTCCGAGGCAGCCCACTTCACTCTGTTCGATGTCTGGTAAGTGATTAGTGGTCCGGTCGTATTAAAATCAGCCCAACTTAATTGCACCCTCATTTAAAACACCCTGAAAATTTAACCTTAAATTGTATACTTATAATGAAAAGCTTGAGCTTTCAATTTAAGTTTATTTATATTAAACAGACAAGTACATTCAAATTAGTATACCTCAGGCCACTTTCATAGTTCTATTAAGGATTATTACATCATTTTGTGGCTTGTAAAAACTTAACAAAAATTATGGTTTTGTAGTTATTTAATAAGTGAAATTAAAGCAAGTGCTGAGTAGGGTACTTCATATTTGTTTACTTTATGTAATATCTTGTACGATCGCTTTTATTAGTGCATTATATTTAATAACTCATACTGATTCCTGAATTTCAAAGAACAAGCTACCATTCCATCATATCTAGACATCAATTCCATGGCAATTCGTTACTGCCTGGCCGCCATCAACACATCAGCCATAATTTCCCAACTGTCGACTTCCCTACTGCTAATTCCCACAACGACTTGCTGCCATTTTGGACCCTCTCTTAGGAACCCCGGACTTAACTACGGCGGACACGTCAATCTGACCGAAATTGGCAGCTTCACGCCGTCGGAGGGATTCCAGTTGCACACATGGTTTCGGACCACGTCCACAGTTCGTCGCAGGATGGATATGCAGCACGCCAGGGTGCGCTGCATGGTTGTGGTAAGATTAGGGGGGATTTCTATTGGGATTGCGTAGGGAGTGGAGGGACAGGAATATCCATCATCATTCTGACGGTCAGAAGTGCACTTGAAAGAAAATAAAGCGGTCCACAAAATAATATACCTATTATTAAAAAAAGAAATTAAAACTAAAATATTTAAAACCTTTCAGGTATGTTAACACAATTAAAGTAGGAAATCTAAGAGTGAAGTTTTGAGTGATAATTATGCAAGGTATCGGTAATTTTAAAAAATTTGACATGCACAAAAGTAAATAATCAAACGAAATGGAGAATGTAAGCTCACTTTACAAACGTTTAGGGTAATACCACTTTGAAATCGGGAGAAAAATGGCAAAGTTTGGGTCACCAGAATTTCAGTTTGTGGTCACCTTTTGGAGATAACTTAAAACAACAATCTTATACGATTATATGTTATCTAAATAATCCGGATAAACATTGCCCTTATTTCGCTTGTGTGTAATGAAATGATAATTTCTCCCAGTGATGGTTTGATATCCAACCACTCGGCAGGTGACCAACAAGAACATGACGGGCACCCTGATGTACTACCTCACGCACACGGTGTCCGGTCACATCGACACGATGAACCGCTTCAATTTCAATCTGCTGATGGCAGTGCGCGACATGTTCAACTGGACGTTCGTCCTCTCGAGAACCACTTCGTGGGGATATGTGAAGAATGGTCGGTTTGACGGGATGATCGGAGCCCTCATTCGCAATGAGACGGATATTGGAGGGGCACCGATATTCTATTGGCTGGAGCGGCACAAATGGATCGATGTGGCGGGTAGAAGTTGGTCCAGTCGTCCCTGCTTCATCTTTCGACATCCCAGGAGTACGCAAAAGGATCGCATCGTATTTCTTCAGCCGTTTACCAACGATGTCTGGGTCTTAATTGTGGGCTGTGGTGTTCTGACAGTTTTAATTCTCTGGTTCTTGACCACCATTGAGTGGAAATTGGTTCCACACGATGGCTCAGCTTTGATAAAACCCAAAGGAGGAGTACCACCACGCCATTACCAACAGCAGGAACAAGAGCAAGAGTCAGTGGAGACTACAGTGCGTCCGATTACTGCAGTTTCAGTGGTTCAGGTTAATGAGGAAAAGGTAGAGGAAAAAGTGGAAGAAAAAGAAGATCCAACTCCTATTGATGCTGAAAACCTTTGGCAACGCTGCTACCAAAAGTTGAATAAATACATCAAGGATCGAAAGGCAAAGGAAAAGAAAGCTCCAGAAAGAGTTGGTCTCTTCCTCGAATCCGTGTTGTTCTTCGTGGGAATTATTTGCCAACAGGGTCTGGGATTTTCCACAAGCTTCGTTTCGGGTCGCTGCATTGTGATTACCAGTTTGCTCTTCTCATTTTGCATATATCAATTCTATTCAGCCAGTATTGTGGGCACTCTCCTGATGGAGAAACCAAAAACCATAAAGACGCTAAGCGATTTGGTGGCCAGTTCGCTGAAGGTGGGCATGGAGGATATTCTTTACAACAGAGATTACTTTCTGGTAATTAAATTCAAAGAAAAGGTTAAAGTTTCCTATAATAAAATCTTCCAATATCTAAAGCACACTAAAGACCCCGTTTCCATGGAACTTTATGCCAAGAAGATTACAAGTGTTCCCACGACCAAAGAAAACGAAGCCGATGAGGATGAACCCGTGGATGCAAATGCTCCAACCGCAGATCCTGCCAAATCATATCGGGATATTGTCCACAGCCATGAAACGGGTGCTCATGCCAAGGAAAATTCAGTCAGTAATTGGTTGGATCCGGAAACAGGTTTACGCAGAGTTAAATATGAAAGTGAGTTGTTGGTAATACAAATTAAGAGACTTTTAGATATAAATATGTTTTAGGATTTGCCTTTCATGTGGACGTGGCTGCTGCTTACAAGATTATTGCCGAAACCTTTGACGAACAGGCCATTTGCGATCTCACCGAGGTCAGCATGTTTCCTCCACAAAAAACTGTGAGCATAATGCAGAAAAATTCGCCAATGAGGAAGGTAATCTCTTACGGGTGAGTTTACTTTAAAAATAAATTATAATTCATTTAAGAGTATTAATTAGTAATAAAAATATATACATTTCAGATTACGACGTGTTACTGAAACTGGCATCCTGACCTATCACTTTAATGTCTGGCACTCAAGAAAACCGCCTTGTGTGAAGAAAATTGAGACCTCGGACTTGCATGTGGGTTCTACGAGCTTTCGAACCTCTATATTTAAAACTTTCAAGCATTTAATTCCAGGTTGATATGGATACTGTGAGCTCTGCCCTGCTGATACTGATCTTCAGTTATGTCATCACCCTCATGATCCTGGGCACCGAGATTCTATACTCCAAGTGGCAGTATCGCCTCGTCATCAGGATCAATTGAGTTGAAAGAGACTTGAATGTGATGCAATAAAATTCGAAAGCAGAGAGCTTAAACTCTGACACTTGAGCTCAACTGGAATTAATTGTCGAGGAGGAAGTTTTCAGTTCATTTTGAATGCGCGCTTTCCGATTCATTAGTTCGCCACAAAGGGGAAATTCGATTTTCACCCAGACGACCATGAATGTGTCAAAAGGTAAAAGTTTAATTAAATTAACTTGGTGCGCAGCAAATCGAAGGCGAAGAAGGGGTGTGATTGCATAATTAAATTGTGTAGTGGTGCGAACTTTTTTATTTGGCTATTTGAAAGTAATCCACTTAGTTTGGAAGACAGAGGGATTGATTTAATTCCTTAATGAAATGAATTAGAATTTATTGCAATCTCCGGGGAGCAGCTCAATCTTGAATTTTCGACAAGATGGTGAAATTGTTTCTTCGCCTTCTTCTCGAGTGGAAAATGCCTGGCAGCGGGTGGAGAAAGAGTGAGTCAATTTTAGCCACAAACGAACTACAAAATATCCATTAAGATAACAAGTTTTTCAGTAGTTGTAACACAGTTTTCCTTCCTTCTATTCCACTCATATTTTTTTCTAGCTTTTTTTTATCTTCTGCCTTTTACCGGGAGGCTTCTTGTCAGCGCTCACACAGAAACACAAAAGTTCTCGTCCTGGCCCTGTGTTATTTTGGCTCCTTGCCAAAGTGCCGCTCTTAGGCATTTCTTTTCCTTCTTTTGCCCGGCTCTGTGTTTGTTTGTTAAATGTAAAGGGACAAGGGACTTGTTCCTCCATCGGTTCTAGGCTGAAAAGCCACAGCAACAGCATCCAAGTCGAGGCAAATCAATTACAAGTCGTGAAAATCTGTAAAGCGCCACGGAACAAGCTGCCCCGAAAGTTGTCAACATTTTCATTTAATGTCCTTGCTCATTAGTAGTGGCCCAAAACAAAGACAAAAAACCCGAGAGCCAGTGAAACTGGCAAATGTTCGATGGGCGGGTGATGGAAAAACCGTGTGAGTTTTCTCGGTTTACTCGGTTTTTGCCGAGAACACGGCTGATTGAAAAAGTTTCGCAGACATATGGGTTTGCTTCGGTTCGGTTTGCTTTAGCCGGTTTCCGTTTAATCCGCACACACTTTAGCTATTTATCTACGCGCCATAAGATGCAATTTGGTTGCCACACTTCGTCGACTGTGACAATTAAATTGTTTTGGCTTTGTTTGAGCAGCAAATTGTGCAACAAAACTTTGGCGGTTGCCAAGAAAAATAAACACCAAAAGAAAGTGGCAGCGAACGACGAGTGGAGACCTGCAGGAGCCGTGGCATAATTAACAAAAGCGCTCAGCAGGGCGCGTAATTTTGCCCGCTTGCCAACGTACTCTTGCACCGAGAAAAAATGGGAGTAAAATTGAAGAACTCATTTCGAATTGTGTATTCAAACGAGTTTTTCCTAGTGAGGATAATTCAATATTAAAGGAATACTCAGATATGTTAATTGTAATTTAATGAGTAACCCCTTAGCTTAAATATAAAATTTGTGGCTTAAAGACAGCTTTCAATTGACCCACCTAAAAAAGTTTATTATTTTAATTATCTTTTGCCGTGTGGCAGGAAAATTATGCTCCATCTCCCTCGTTCGACTTGGGGCTTGGCCAGAACCCGAAAGTTTTCGCGCAAAGCCAAACTAAAGTAGTTTCCCCTAAGACGGCGCCGGGCGAGATTGGACAGCAGAAAGTGGTGGGGCTGGGCATATGCTTTGGGGCTTGTGTCAAAGTGTGAAAAACTTTATGCGTCTTAATTAAATTTTATATACAGCGCAGGGAAGGAATTATGCGCCAAAATATTGCAACAGCTCCCAAAGAAATCCCTCAACTCCTCCGCGAAGGCAACTTTTCAAAAGTGACAGCTGCATCGGCGGACTGAGGATTTTGGTGGAGCAGAAGGTCTGCCCGCTACTTGACTTTAAGCCAACCAATTAGTCCAAACTTAGGGGATAATTGAGTGCCTGATTATCAAGCTCACTCTGCCCTTTTTATGTCCGCTTTGTGGGATAATTTTTACTTCAAGGTAAGAAGGTAAGAAAACGGCGATTAAGGTGAAAACATTTAAAAAGAGGAATCTCAAGTTGCTTGGATTTTAGTTTTATATAAACTTTATTAAAGCTATATTTATCATTTTAAATTACTTGTAGAAAATTGTAAGTCTGCAGAATAAATTCATACAAATATTCAATTATTATTTATTAAAAGTATAAGTGCAGAATATTTCTCTGTCGTGTATTTGCACAATTATTTGGACACGATTTTCTTTCATGCATGAAATTCAATTATCTCTTCTTGTCTTTCATATTCAATATTTACCTCTGCTAATTAACTTTCTTCGTGTGCCAAATGAACTAAACAAATTTGGACAGAATTCGAGGTATTTCTGGATTCTCATTATCATTCCGAGCATATACGACAGAATGTGTGTGACACACATTTCAGGAGAATACTGAGGAATCCGGGTGGGGAAAAGCCAGACACGTGGCCAATTTCGAGTGTCACAGAACGGATTTTTTTGTCTGGCTCGAGAGCTGGAATTGCTCAAGAGGGATTTGGTTTCATAGGAAAGTCTGAGCCTTATTATTATTTCCAACCTAACAGGTAATAGCCTGAACAGTACAAAAAAATGTATCAAGGTTTTAGCATTATAAAACAAGTTTACAAGAATTCTAAACAAATTGATTTTAAACTGACTTCCAATTTTCAAAGGTATCACTTTAAATAAACCTTGTGGAAACCTTGCGTTCCCATCTAAAAACTAAACAATTAATTAAGTTCAATTACTGTTGAGGTTCATAAAAGATACATTATCGCAGGACGTAAATGGTCATAATTGAGGTAAATTCATGGCTCATGTGTAATTTAATGTTTCTGCAATTGTTTTTGTCCGACTGCCTTCTGTTGTAACTAATTCCCAAACAAGTTGTAAACTTTAATGGCATTCTGTAGCCTCACTTTTTTGTCGTTTTCGATTTGTTCAGTTTTTGTGCCCTCATAATAGTTGACAACTGTAATTTATGATTACTTTTTGCTGTGCTGGCGGTTTGGCCAGTTGCCAAACTATTTTTTCAACAATATTTTTTCCAAATGCTATTTTTTATCAGCCCTGCAGGTCAATGCAAAAGGTGAAAAGTTAGTCATGGCATTGCAACTAATGAACAAATGCATTAGATGCAAAAATAATTCAAACGATAATAAACATTGTCTCGTAAAAGCTTTTATATACTATTAAAATAATAGTAAAACACTTTTGTAAATTGCAAACTTTGGGACAGAAGTCAGACACAGATAAAGTAAAATAGACATTGAAGGACATCATTAATACGCATTATTTACATTTCACAAAAGTTCCAAATCGATCAATTGTCGTTTATTCGCTTTCAAGTTGGCTCCTCTTATCTGCGAAAGTTTCTCCGTCTGTGGAGAATTTTCTTTTTATTTTCCCTTATTTTCTTCTTGCACAATTCAGTCTAGCCGATGCTACCGGAAGTTGCCAAGCAGCAGCAGCAGTGGCAAGCCGGAAAGAAAAGAATCGCAGAGAAAATCGAAAGTTTTGATTTATAATCGGACAAGTTTAGAGCTGCCTTCAATTCAGTGCTGTTGCATTTCTCGAGTTTCCCCCTTCTCATCCGATGACTTGGAAGCGGATTTGTCATGGCTCAGGAATGGAAATGAAAAACTTTTTGCCGTCCGGGTGCATTTAATTTATTTACAATATCCGGTCGCTATTTGTGCGTTTGTCAGGTTCAGGTGCTGAATGGGCGTTTCATTTAAATGGGCGAACAATGGCCTGTCTTAGGGCCAATAAATTTCAATTAAAATGTCAACAATTTGCGGAGCGGCGACAAGATCTCTCTCTTCCACAGTCTTTCCCGTCTGCACATTTTGTCAGCCATATATTTATATACATAAAGTATATCGGCTGGGGAGGATTTATCGCTGCCATTTGCTTATTGACAGCTGGGGAAAGTGAGCGTGACATGATGGAAAGTAATCTAATGGAGAGGATAGACCAGCTGACTCAGGTAATTCATCATAAATATGCTGAGCAGAAACACAGCCCAGATACTCGCTTTTTACACCTGTGGCTGTCGTCGCTGGAAGTCATCAATCTTCTGAAAGGGAAGTTGACTTCCCTTTTCGCTATGCCCCTTTTTATTTTTCAGGGGGTGGGTGGAATTTAAATAAATTGTCAGGAAATAGAAGACGCAGTCGTTGGGTTGTAAACTAAAATGCTTAATGTTTAAGAAACTGAATATTCAAACCATTAAATAGGCTTTTGGCTTTAAGCCTTCAACATTTTAAAGAGCATGTGTGGTGGTTATTTTATGTTTTAATGCTATTTTTGTACTTATGAGGTAATTTTTTCCTAATTGTATTTCTTGCACTGTAATTCACATTATTTTAGAAAGGTTATTCTTTCATAACCTTACCAAAGGAGTTTTTCTAGCTTCCTTAAACTGCTGTACTTTCCCTTTTTTCTGGAACTTGTACATTTCAACCAGCCGATGGCGAAACATTTTAGGGCTTGAGAAAAAAAGAAAACTGTGTGTTTCGCCGGCCTTTGCGCATAAAATAACTTGCAAAAGGGAGCTGTCACTCTGACGAAGGAGCACTTTTGATAAGCCCCACAAAGGCAGAAAGGGGTTAAGAGGGAGCAACGGCCAGTGGAAAAAAAGTGGAATGGAAATACAAATAGCGAGTCCGAAATGTTCGAAATTGAAAAGCGTTTCGGGGAGGCAGCTGAAGTGGTTAGTTTGCGTCCTCCGCTTGATGAGTGCGTCCACTTGATTGCCGCTTACCAACTCCCCTTTCCATTGCCATTGCCACTGCCATTGGATTCCCCCAAATCCTAATCTCCACCCAACTTGAAACGAGACCTAATGACACAAAGCGCACTAATTCAGGCAGCCATTGTACTCCTCCCTCCACTCTCGATCGGGATCTCCATTTCCCACCCGCCGG